CTATATATATATATAATTTAAAGCGAATTATAGTTTTACTAGCTCGTAGCGAATCTATATAGCCTAGGCTACTATATAAGTATATAGTAATTACTAAAGAATAAAACTAAACTAACTTACTAGAAGAGTATAAAAACTACTAAAAAACTAGCTTAAGCTAACTAAATTATAAGAGACTCCGAGTCTACTATAACTATAACTCGAACTAATAACTATACCGATATTATACTAAACTATACTAATTCGAACCTCTAAACTAATCCGAATCTATCTCGAACTAATTACTAATCTATACTAAATTACTAAACGAACTTACTAAATTAATTTAAGTTATATAAGCTATAATAACTACGAAAACTATAAGTACTATACTATTACTAAATATCTTTTATTTATACTAAGAGCTCTATTCTATCTATCGAGTTTAGAGAATAGTAAACTAATATAGAAATAATAGTAATACTAATAAAACTTCTAGCTATAAATAAGAGATACTACTCGAGTTACTCTAATAATACTAGAGTAGTAGACTCTATAGTCTCTATACGAGTTTTAGTATTTTTAAGTAATTTATATAAGTAAGCTTAGAGATATACTTTTACTTATATAGACTATATTTTAATTAGTAGATTAGCTATTATAAAGTAATAGATAAAGTTATTCCTTTTATTAGAATAGTAAAGTAAATAAATTTACTATATAAAGTTAGAGTTTCTTTTATTCTAAGATAGTAAGATTTAATTAGCTAGCTATTTAATATTTACTAAAGAGATATATCGAGTTACGTAACTACCCTAACTACGTAATTCTTAGTAGAGAAGAGTTTTTCATAATACGCTAGAAACGCGTATTATGTAGCAATCAATCGAATAATTAAACATGGAAATCGCTCACCGCCATGCAGCGTAATGACACTGCATACGCGACAGCATGGCCAGCACATGCTGCGCGCTTGCACAGCACGCGGATGCAAACCACGCGAGATGTGGGGGCCAAAATGTAACATGTCGCCATTTCTCCGTGATTCTTTATGCAATACTCTTCTGCATGTGTGCACAGAATGCCAGCTCCGCCAGGTTTGCTTGCTTCTCAAGCGCCATTCATTCCATCTCTGAACCATGGATCATGCCCCCGAAATCCTTCGGGCCCGAATCCTGGTCGCTCGAGACCGAAAGTGTATTGACAGCCAGTGTGGCACAAAGCTCCACCCACACTTGCAGCCTACTATGCGCGTACCGAACGGGAGTGCTGAAGCGCTCAGATCAACAGCACACAGGCACGCAGTGCGGATGATGGCGCTTTCACTAACAGGAATCTAGTTTTCTCCGCGGGCCGATGTCCGAAGCAGAAGCTGAGCTGGCATAAATTGGTGCATAGATTTGATAACAAGTCGTTACACTTCCAGGGTTGTGCAATCATAGATCGGTGACTTCGGCTATGTGAGTCTCCTTGTCAGCATCCGCCCGACACTAGCGCTCGGTACTATCGTCGGTGCCGTTCGTTCGTAGCTCGCATTTGAATTGCCTACCGAGTACCCAGCCCGCTGGAAGCGACGAAAAGAGGCTGCAAGAACGCAGCAATATCCGCGAACGGCATTGGGCTGCCGCGGCCGCATAATACTGCTTGTGATCAACATAACATGTGCTCCCGCTCTTGCAGATTTTGTGATGAATGCGCGTCTGTGGACGCTGTGAGACACTGGCGCGAGTGGCATTGCCGCGGAAGGTTGCTTCAATCCAGGATATCATAGGTTGTGGCATGCATCGGTTGAACACTTGCGACGTGGTGATGGGTGGCGCTTTAAGGAAGGTGGTACTGAAGCGGCACCGGGAAGTTCGACACGAGAGAGATGCCGCGCGTATCAACGGTGCCAACTACACATGAGATGACACAGTCCAGCTTGTTGTCACGGTTGTGTAGTTTCTAGTGCCTCAGTGCTCTATATCGCTACCGGCCCAGTGGAGCTTATCGCAGGCGTAGAGTGAGAAGCACCGAAGTAGTGTCGCGGCATTAGGATATTACGCAATATCAAGAACTTCGCGTTGCTTTGTGTGAGGTGACATTGACACGCGGGACTTATGGGCCAGAGGGCGATTCCAACGCTACATTCCTTGTTGACATAGGTGAATGCAGCCATTTCAAATTTGAAGAGCGCACAGAACCATGATCAATCATGGCGCCAGTTCCAGGTTTCGCACTCAAAATTGGCATAGCATCTGAACTCGTTGCTAAGACCTTTGCTGTGCTCTGGCTCGAACGTAGTCGTCTTCACGCCAATTTTCGCGTAAAGTCGAAGTATGTTGGACTCCATTCTCTCTCCGGTGCAGGATATGAAGCGCAGCGTTTGCTGTGGATCATCAGACCAGCTCTTTGCTAGGTACCGAGCAGTGAGTGCGGTCTTGGTCTGGCAATCCGCAGACAGGAAAGGAGGATCGCAAATGATGCGATCGAACTTTCCCTTCAGAGTCGGCGGAACGCGGAGAGGATGCTGAAAGTCGTAGAACTCGAAGTCCGAACCTACCACCTCAAAACGTCTGTCATACTCGAGCAGACATAGCTGCGGCCGGGGGGCTGTCTCGTCATCGGCAAGGATGTTCCGCAGCGCAACATAGACGCTGGGGGCGGACACGATAGCGATCGCAGAAGAGTCGGTGGCGTCTTTCAACAGCTGTCGTGCAAGCACTTCCGCAGTGTGGTCGGTGTACCAGAACTGACTCGCGTTCCAGTCCTCGCCAAACAAATTCATGGTGAGCTTGCCCGAGCCATTCGCAAAATCGTCCTCCGCCTTGGTCTTCAGATCCTCGAATTCTTTGGCTTTGGCATCGCGTTCACTATGGAACTCTGCTAGGGCCGCGAGAGTGTCGGCGGAGAGTTGACTGGGCGTGTGATGAGTGGTTTTTCTTCGGCGAACCCACAATGAACGGCGTACGGTATGTCATCATCGTCCATGATGTCTCGAGTGATGCAGTTCGGTGACTTCTTCACTATCGTGCACTGACATGAGCGTGGCTTTGTGTTGGTCTTTGTTGTCGTGAATGATTCGGACTCATCTGACCACAACCAACAATGCCGTTGTTGGTTGCAAATTTAGGCGTGGCGTGACTGCGGCAGGCGCGATTTGGTTCCAGGCTCAGGCATCCTTGCATCGACGACTCCGCCTCATCTGTCACCTGTGCCAGCACCTATCTAATCTCCGCCGCCAACACTGCACGCTCCAAACACCGCCGACATCACTGCCAACGCCGCCTGCGCCTCCGCTACGACACCTTTCCGCGGGCTGAGACCCTCCGACGATTCCACCGCGAGCACCATGAGCTCACAGCGTTATGAGCGGGTACGTAAGCGCCCGGGCACTCGCCTCCCTGGTTTCCAGGCTGCCAACATGAATACAACTAACATGGCGTGTTTGCAGGTCGCCGGAACAGATGAAGACGACCATGTAGCATCGAATGCCCCCATCGCTCTCCCCGACTCCCCGCCACCATCTTTCCGATCGCGCAACTCATCCCGGCGAGCGTCAAGAGACAACCACTCGATCGAAGACGAGCGCGAACTAGATGACGCCTTTGGCGCACCTTCAGACGACGAGGATGACGATGACGACACACGCGACCGGAGGCGACTGATACTTGGGGACGAGGGGCCATCCGGACCAGCGCCGCCTACCAGAAGACCTGAAGCGCCACATCGAGAGGTCACCGAGATACCTTCGTACGTGCCCGCCGCCGCGCCCGGTTCGTCAAACGGACGGGTAGTGGGTGGCGGGCAGAACGACGGAGTGTGGGCAAACCTGAACGCAAAGCCACGGCCTGGAGATGACGTTGACGAGAAACCACCGACATACGAACAGGCTGCGGCTGATGCGACACCGCCTTACTGGGAGACAACCGTTCTCTCGCCCTACAACATGACTGGCAATCCGGATGATGTGTTCATCGATGGATTATTAGTCGGCAGCATTTTCAGTTTCATCTGGAACGCACTCATCTCCATGTCCTTCCAGCTGATTGGCTTTTTGCTTACATATCTCTTACACACAACACATGCGGCGAAGAATGGATCAAGAGCTGGACTGGGCGTCACACTTGTACAGTATGGCTTTCAAATGCGATATGCGAGTACAATAGGCGGAGGAAACTCCGATCCTTCACCTGGTGCTCCTACAGATGGCGTACCCGACGATCCGAACTCGCACGATTTCGATCCTGGACAAGTCACGGGAGGCGATTCCGGCTCAGGCGGTAGCGGACTGAGCACGACAGATTGGCTTTCATATGTCTTGATGATTGTGGGATGGTTCATCCTCATTCGAGCCGTGAGCGATTTCCTCAAAGCCAGACGGCAGGAAGCCCTTGTGCGGTCTTCGCCAGACAGAGGGCTCGGTGTCGCAGTCGTGGCGGAAAACGAGACACCTGCGCAGGCCGTATGAGTGGACAGTTTTAATTATTGTAGCGAGCGAGTCTTTTCATTTTTGGAGTACACACTCTACGAGTTACGCATGGAGTTTACTAGCATGGGAGAGAAGTACCTGCTTAGGATTGTAACACGCTAATACGCGCCTTACCTCTGCACCGACATGTTTCAATCGTGTGCCTCTTCTTACATTCGAAGTGAATTATAGCACGGTGCCTCGAACTCACTCGTGTCCTGTATTGTTCTGTTCAACAGAGATCTAATCACTGGTGCTGATGCGCTACCCTCGTCGAGATTCCGATCAATTGTTCGCCTTACTCTATTGTGCCATGGCATGTCTGCTGTCGCCTGCTCAGCTCGGTGCTGGCCATATCTCTGTGATATATTACGCTGTGACCCTCTACTACATTCGCGCAGGCTGTCGATAGCCTGAGACCACCCACTGTGTCGCCGCCACTAATTTAGAGGAACGGGAGAATCAATCTCGCTATGCCTTTCATATCTCGAAAGCGCACCACTCTCTCTTTGGCGGAATCTCGGGCATGATAATTGCTCCGTCTTTGGCAAACGTTCCACTCTGCGAAACCCACTCATACACCTCTTTCAACTTCGGTCCTATGCTCGGATCCTCGTAGACCGGAGCGGGAGCTTGGGTCATGGCATTCAACTTTTCTGAAATCTCAGGAGGACCATACGGGAACCAAATTCGCTCGATACCTCTGCCATCTGGCTTTGACTGATCAGCGACTGGATAGCCTGGAGTGTCATTCTTCGGGTCTCTGACGACGCAATGGCCTTTCCATGTTGCGGGTAAGTTCTGTGTTTGGGTGCCGGGTGCGAGATTGTTGGCACCAAAGGTCGCAGTCCCCGGTGGTTCGGCTGGTGCGGGCGGTTTCGCGGCGAATGGGTTGGGTCTCACCAGATTCGATTGCTGTTGGGTTGCTGAGGTCGCAAATGGCGATGGACGATTGGCACCGAACGCTGAAGGTGCACCAAATCCGACTCCCGATGTCTGAGCTGGCTGAGCGCCGCCAAAAGGCGTGTTGTTTGTTTGAGCTGCGGGCGGCTGGCTGCCGAATGGAGCGTTGTTTGTTTGAGCTGGAGCTGGCTGGCTACCGAACCCGCCAGTAGGTTGCGCTGTTGAGCCAAAGGGAGCAGAGTTGTTTGCTTGCGCGTTCGCCGGTGCGAAAGGGCTTGGAGTAGGTCTTGCTGCGGCTGCACCGAAGCCAGTAGATCCAAAAGCCGGTTGTGCACCGAATCCACCTCCTGCAGTTGGTTGCTGAGCGCCACCAAACGGATTCGGCTTTGCTCCGAGTGTAGAAGGAGCGCCAAAGCCGCCAGCAGTTGACGCACTTGGTTGCGCGCCGAACGGGCTTGGTCTTGAGCCCAGCGCTGAAGGAGCGCCGAAGCCCGTGCTGGGTGCCGCACTTGTACTGGCACTGAACGGCGAGGGTTTTGCTCCTAGCGCTGATGGTGCGCCAAATCCTCCTCCGGCAGGCGCTGATGGTGCACCGAACGTAGGCTGAGAAGACGCTCCAAAAGTCGGTCTCGAGGGGGCTCCAAAGCCACCTGAAGGCTGGGAAGCGGCGCCGAACCCGCCAGATGCTGTATTCGAGTTCGTCCCAAACCCGCCAGATGGCGCGCTCGTGTTCTGTCCTATCCTCAAGGGCCACGTTCCCGGTGCTGGTTTGATGACATTGTCGTTGCGATTCGGCTGTGATTCATCTGCCGCGTATCTCTTTGCATCTTCGGTGTTGGCAAGGATATTTTGCACCTTGCTGTTCATCAATTGCTCCAACTGCGCATATTGCGCTTCCTGCGCTGGCTATCAGTACGCGAGCTTCAAGCCTCAAGAAGCGAGAGACTAACAAATTGTGGCAATGTGCCAGTTGATTGCGCGAGATACGCCTGTACTCGAAGTTCCTCGGGACTAAGCTCCAGCGGCCCTTCTATCAGCTGCTTGGGAGCACCTCTCCCAGGACCATAAGCACCGAATGGGTATGCTGGTCGCTCGCCCTCTTTCTTGTCTCGCACATAGGTGACGTCGTTCCTGATGTCGTCCGTGACTAGATGGTATGGATTGTCATCTACTGCGATGCCGTTAGCTCCTTCGTCTTGACTGTGTGCAAGTCCTCGATTGCGCTACCCAGGCAGGCAGCTGTACGGCGTGGCACACTCTTCTCCATCTTGATCACAAAGCTGCGGGGTAATGAACCGCTGATATCGAGTGCATGTAAACGAAGGTAGTCTCACCGTTACCTGATCGACCTCGCGAGCCAAAGCCGCCACTTCCTCCTTGATTGGAGAGGGGCGCAAAGCGATTGGATTGAGGCTGCTGGAACGAGTTCCTTCCAGGATGTTCATTGCGACAGCCGTCTAGTTTGGAAACTTAGCACATTCAGGGCGGGAAGCTGGCGACTTGCTCCTACCTCCATATCTGCACCTCCCCTCTTGGTAGAACTTGCAGACCACCATCGCGGCCGCCACTACCTGAAGCCCAGCGTCCTGCTCACCATGCGCAGTAAGAGCTGGACTTCACTTGTCGCTGACAGGCAGCAATGCACAGGACTGCAGAGCGCGATAATTATCGCCGAATATGCGATGGAGATGATGCACAACGTCGAGGCCGAGATCTCGCGACAAACTTTAACCAGAACAAAGAACGCGTCTGGTTCACGCGTCACTCGTCAGCCTGCGAGCCCGCACTTGCGTTCACGGTGAATAGCTCCACTCGTTGGTGCAATACCAGATTGTCTCGTCACGACAACATTTTTTGGAGAGGGCCTGAGGTCCGCGTCGGCACAGCAGCCGAAAACCTTGTTTGCGCTTCCGCGATTCGTGTTGTCTTCGCGCTCTGTGCGCTCACGCTGCTTGTGCAAGACAAAAACATGGTCTCGCATAGTTCTGGCTGAATATGCTGCGGTCTGACCAACGAATCCTGACCGGCACGTAGTGATATCTGCCTGGTCGCGAACGTGGCCTGCTTGCGACTGGCTCTCCTATTGCACGCGCAAACCTTCCGTCGCTAGCCACCGAGGCGTCTTCTGCCCGCAGCCTCGAAAACGACACTGCATCCTCCTCGACGACCTCGAGCATGAACACACATCCGCCTGATGCACCCTGTCTCAGTCCTCACATTCGGCATCTTCTTAGCCGGATACATCACAGCTCGCTGGGATTTGGTCACACGCTTGTATGAGCTCGCCATCTTTGCTTGGGACCACGGAGTGATTGTAGGTCCAGCAGGCCCCGCTGGGCAAGATCGTGGCTAACGACCACCTGAACAGACACGTGCTGCCAAAGGCTTCGCTGTACTGTCCATTTTCTTCGTGCTGGTGCTCATCCCCATCGAGCGCATTGCCGCCAGAGAAGCCGAGCTTGTCAGTCTCCGAGGTGTGTGCACCGCGCGAAGACATCGATCTAATACGAAGCTTCAGCACCCTCGACCCCCGGAAGCCAGCATATCAGCGCGCGAACAGCTGAGACGCCGAGGATCCTTTTAGACTCTGCTTCGACACAAAGAGTGCCCGCAATGGGAGCATGCCCAGCCACAATCATGGGTTGATGCGCGTATTTTGGCCCTCGGATGCGCCAAGGGATAGCATCCCGGGAGTACTTGTAGGATGGAGGAATTCAGACTTGGACGTTCTCATCGTAGCGGTCCTGCAAGGCGTGGAGGTGAGGCTTGGTGGATGAGACGCCGAATGCAGTCGCACTGACAGGATACTAGCCTCGCAACGTCGATCATGCCCTGCGCATGCGAACACTTTTTCGCGGTAGCCCGTACTCGATCGACAAGCTCGTAGCACACTGTGGGAATCAGCAACTGCAGGTCCTTGGGACACTCAATATCGAACCCGCGAGCACGATCTTCGATCCAAAGCTGCTCTGTTTGCATATTGTGCCCAGGAGCGCAACACCACGAGTCGAACGTTACGAATATGCCCCGGTCACTTTCCAGATTATCACTTTTGACAGACCCGACCCACGAAGGATGCAATATTTGTCGCTGACGCCAATTTCCCTTGCGCTCGTGGATAAGAGCGGGCCGCACGGCGGTGACTCCTCGTTCGATCGAATCGACAAAGACGAAGCAGACGCCAGGAAGAAAAAGGCGAGCCTTGTGGAGAAGTTGAAGCAGCACAGTGTCATTAGACATGCACGATCTGAGAAAGAGATGGCATTGAATAATATCGTTGTACAAATCAATTGCTCAGCTGAGTTGGACGCTCTGCTGCAGTCCAACATCGGCATGGTTGGTGTGCGGACGAAGCGAGCGATGAGCGTGGGAGAAAGAGTGGTGGAGTCGGCAACAAATTTCTGGGACTACGTGCAGCTGGAATCGAAAAGGTCATTCAGGCACCACGTCTGGCCATTTTTGAGGCAAGTAGTCGTGCTATACCTGATGGTGCTACGAATAGCAGCAGAAGTCTTGCTTTCTTTGCTGGACTGGCGACCGTTCGGGCAAGCAGCTCTGAAGGACATCTCGGCCACCGCGCAGCAAGTCGACATCCGTCTGCAGCAATTCTGTTACTGGCCCGATCAATACGTGACGTTGAACAGAAGACGCAATGACTGGGAGAGCATCACCAACAGTCATCCGGACTACATCCGCTTTTTCAATTCGCTGTGGCTGGTTGCGAACGATGTCATCATTGGCATTGCCTTGGGGTCATACATCGTTGAAAATGTCGACTATGTGGCCTATCTCCTTGATACCACCTTAGCCGAGTATTCGGTAGCTGGCCTTCAACAGATGCTAACATGGCTCATGGACTATCCCGCTGGATTGAAACTCAATAACGAGCTTGCGACTTTCCTTGGTGATCTCTTCCTTTGGGTCATTGAATACTGGAATGGCTGCATGACTGAACTAAGGCCGGCGTTGCCTTCTTTGATCCGCATCATTGGCATCACCAGCTTCGCCGGCGCCAGTCTCCCAATCTCGATGTTCTCAGACTTGCTCTCTGTGTTGACCATGCACATCTACTGCTTTTACGTTGCCTCGGCTCGCATCTACAACTGGCAGCTAACAATCATCATTTCGCTCTTCCATCTCTTCCGTGGGAAAAAGCGAAACATATTACGAAGTCGCATCGACAGTTGCGACTACGACCTCGATCAGCTCCTTCTGGGTACGATCCTGTTTACTCTCCTGTTTTTCTTGTTGCCGACGGTTGCCGTATTCTATGCGACATTTGCCGGTGCAAGGATGGCCATCATAGCGCTCAAGGCCGCGCTGGACACGTGGTTGGCGTGCCTGAACCATTTCCCACTTTTCGCTCTGATGCTCCGCGTCAAAGACTCTCGGCGTTTGCCTGGCGGTATTCAGTTTGAGCTGCAGGATCCTCCGCGCATAATTTCATCGGCCTCTGAGAGTTCTGCTGAGGTGGGTAAAGTGGCGCCAACATCTTACATTAAACTCAAGGTAACATCCTCCTTCAAATGCCGGGCGACGTAGCTAACCTGTTCGCAGTCCATTCCCCTTCCTCTCTCACAGACATTCTCGCAATACGCACAGCTGGGACAGAGACTTCGTAAGCACTACCTCTTGCCGAGAGTATTTTTATGCTTGGTGTCTGGGCAGTTTGTGCCTCCCATACATCGCAAGAACCTTTACAGCTTGCAGTACAGCATGCTCCCGGTCAAGCGAATAACAATCGGCGAGCTATGGCAGCTGTTGACGGAGCAGAGGCCGGTCGAGCACGGACAGGTGAACGGACAGCCGATCACCAATGGCCATATTGGTGGTGGCAAGAAGATGAACGGGAGATTAAAGGCCGCCAACGGTTATTGGTGGAGCAAATGACAACTTCAAGATGAACGAATAATGTGTATTGTGGAGAGGAGAAGCTCCTCCGATAATGTGAAATAGGCTGGAGTCCCAGCTCTCTGGTCTTGGGTTGCATCAAGAAGCAGCAATTACGAGGTGAGGAAAAGAAGCGATCTGATGAAACCATTTGCACGTGGCGTGTAATCTTTCGTACCTGTTTCATGTGTGTCGGTGGCGCAAGAAGGCGCGTCTGGTCGAGACACGATGGCTTGCTTTCGAGGAAGTGCATATGCAGAACGTCTCGAGGGATGTGGCGAGACAGCCATGCATCCGTGGTTTCGCTGGGCAGCACGTGGGAGCTTCATGCCACACGCCGCCGCCGTCACTGCTGCGGTCGAAAAGATACTGGGCCCCGATGCGCAACGCTGCAGTAATCCATAGCGTTGTTAGTGAGCTGCAGGAGTAGTCAGCTCGCAGCTATAACCCTCGCGCTAGATTGACTACAGATGGCCATATGTGAGATCGTGGAACAAGCTTTCCGGCAGTCGCAATACGACAGGCATATGCTGTCCTCGACGCAGTTTCGCGTTTGGTGACCTTCTGTCGTGTCTCCCTCGAGCGCGGTGGGTGACCAGAAAGGAGGCTGTGCTCAGAGACAACACCAGCCGCAGCAAAAGACAACAGCGTTGGGCTTCAGCCACTAGGAAAACGTGCGGTGCTGTGAGATCCTACGCGCACTACTTGTCAGCACGGTCGACGACGGCGCCAGACAAATATAGAAGGACGCGCAGACGTATAGTTCGCATGCCCGCCCCGAAAACGTCTGTATCGACTTTGATTGTGCCGGTTTCGCGAGACGGCGAGAATTGGCTTGGGGCTATTGGCGAGGTACGTACGTCAGTCGCAGCAGACGCGAATACGCTGGCACGTGCGGAGCAGCGAGATGAGCTTCATTGCCAGTTGCCTTGCCTGGTGGAGCTCACCTCCCGGGATCTCGCTCATATTGTCGCTCCTCCTAACCGCTCGTTCGCTCGTTCGTCCATGCACCGCCAAGTACACATGCTAAGAGACACTGCGCCGTTAGATTGTGGGTGACGAGTCTCGCTAACCTCCCACCCACCGACCCGCGCAACGAGGGGCTCACAGCAGCCGGCTAAGGCAGTCGGCGAGATTGAGTCTGTACGATTACGATTCTCCACCGAGATATACCTAGTCGCCCGCGCCAACCGGCGCGCGCTTCTTCTCTTGGACGATGGCATACTCTCACCACTACCCACACGACAACATGAGTGCGACGTTCGTACCGGGCGGGAACGATGACTTCTACATGCCGCCTGTCAGCCCACCTCTGGTGCAGCCGGAGCCGCAAAGGTATGATGCCCACTTGCGAGAGTTATCCTTGGTGGGGAAATCGCGGTGCATCTCGCGTGGTCCCCGCGAGCCAGTTCATTGTCCTCGTTGGGGCCCAGGACGATTCGCCGCATTCCCGCAAGAGCAGACAAAGAAACATGCCTCGAAGGACATATGTGGCTGACCGGAGTGACAACATAGGATCAACCCAGAAATGTCGAACCAAATCAGCGAAGGCCTGAATAACTTGGACTTGAACAGTCGCGCGAACGACCTACCCCACCTCTCGCCCTTCCCGAAACTGGTCAATCCTGCCCCCAATGTGCCTCCGTCCGACGATGAGCTCGAGGCGCGGCTCGAGAATGCGCGAGTACCGGTGCTCAACTCGAACGACCCCGAAATGCAGCTGGCATGGGCAGCAGACGCTCTCTTATATGCTGGAGTATGCTCCGACGAGGCCGAACGATTGGCAGCGTTGAAGCCTCAACAAGCACGGGCATCCACGCCGAGGATAGAGCACCAGCTCAAGGCGGATGCCATGAACATTGTCACTTTTCTCGCGGATCAACATCACCCTCGAGCAGAGTTCTTGCGGGGCATGTGGCTGGAGTGGGGGCGTTTCGGGCAGCGCGAGGACAAGAAGGAGGCGTTTCGATGCTACTCAAGAGCAGCAGATCGGGGGTATGTGCGAGCGGAGTACAGGATTGGGATGCTATACGAATCGTACAATGACCCTGTCAAGGCTTTGCGGCATTACCACCGAGGTGTGGATGCGGGGGATGCGGCATCGTGCTACAGATTGGGCATGATGACTCTACGAGGACAGCATGGACAACAACAGGATTGGGCAAAGGGCATCTCGCTGATCAAGCAGTCTGCCGAAGCTGCGGACGAAAATGCTGCTCAGGGTGCCTACGTATACGGAATGCTGCTCGCAAGGCAGCTGCCCCAGATCGAAGTGCCGGAGCAGTATTTGGCGCTGGACGAATTTCAAGCAAAAGTGAACATTGAGAAGGCTGCATACATGAAGTTTGCGAAAGCACAGGCAAAAATGGGGTCAGCATACGAGCTGGGATCCTTGGGTTGTGAGTTCAACCCAGCTTTATCGGTGCACTACAACGCTTTGGCTTCGAAACAAGGCGAGGCGGACGCGGATATGGCGTTGAGCAAGTGGTTCTTGGTTGGCTCGGAAGGCCTATTCCCGAAGAATGAAGAGCTGGCATACACATACGCGGAGCGAGCTGCGGCTACAGGCCTACCGACTGCGGAATTTGCGCTGGGATACTTCAACGAAATCGGCATGCATGTGCCGGTGAGTCTCGAAAAGGCGATGGAATGGTACGACAAAGCGGCTAAGCACGGGAACGGAGATGCAAAAGGACGAATTGAAGGTCTCAAGAAAAAGGAGGTGCTGAACAAGCGTGATCACGAGAATGTGGCGATTAACAGGATTCGATCTACTCATGGGTCTATGCGTGGACAACGGCCAGATCGATTCCGACAAAAACAGGAGCCCGCACTAGGGACTGTTGGAGAGAGCTATGCACCATATTCGAATGGATACAACGCAGTTCAGCCTCCCGCACGTGGTACAACGCCCTACCCTACTGATGATGGCCCGCCCAAGGTCGACGTGAGACCAGCTTCGGTTGCTCCATATCCTATGGCAGATGGTCCTCCGTCACAGTTTGGCACTCCACGAATCGGCGGTGGACCCACGAGCGGCTTCTTCAACGCGACTCCGCAACGTCCAGCAACCACAGTCGGTGCAGCACCTTATGATCGTCCCAGCTCTGCTTTTCAGATCAATCCTGCGATCTTGCAGAATCCATCGCAAGGTGGACAACGACCGTATTCCGAAGCCAACTTTGCGCCTGCTCCACTACGGCCTCAAACCGCGCAACCACATCCTATCGATCAGCGACAATCGTCTGCGCCATCTGGACATTACAATGGACAGGGACTGCATCCTAACGACCCGCGAGCTCGGCCTGGCATGGGCGGCCGCGTCACATCGGGTCCCGCTGGCTTGCAGTCACGACCGCCTCAGAATGGCATGCCACCTCCAGGACCTGGCCATCTCCAACACCAACAGACAGCGCCCCCTGGGGCACCTGCAGCACCAGCTTCCACGCCACAGCCGCAACAGCAAGCCGTTGGTCTTGGATATCAAGCTCCACACACTGAGCGACCTCAGACCGTGGACCCGACATGGCGCGAGAAGCCCGAACGACGACGAAGAGGCTCTGATGATCGACGACCCTATGGGGCTGTCCCGAAACCCGCTCCTGCCGGGCCTGCTGCAAGACCACCACCTGCGGCTGTGGGCGCGATCGGAAAGGTTCCTAATGCAGGAGGCGTGCCTATTGGCAGCGGCAAAGGCGGCAGCGCACCCACTCCACCGCAAATACAGAGTCCAGCTCTGCCACCTAGCAAAACCGGGACGCCGAAACCTGGTGCGCCTGCTGCTGCTGCCGCTGCTCGGCCGCCTGGGAAAGGACCGAAGACGTTTGAGGAGATGGGCGTGCCTGCGCATAATCAGGATAAAGATTGTGTAAGTCTCACTTCTTTACTTCCTCAGACTTCGGATAATGTACTGACGCATTATGATAGGTTGTCATGTGATCTCTCGTCAATGTTGTTCGTTGATTTTGGATTATGTATGATTCTAGTGATACCAAGTGTGATTTTCGGGAGCGAAGCACAAAGAATTCGACAGTGCTTATTTGCGCTAGGTGTTTTGGCGAGGCTAAAGGAGGCCGTTCGAAGCTTTTTTGCCATCTGAGAAGGACTTCCTTTTGGCTCTTGGTTGGTTGCTGTGCTCGTGATAATCTGGTTACTTGCATAGCGTGTGGTAGCGTACAGTTACGTATCAGCGGATTATTGAGAGGTTCAGAATCACCGGTTTCGCCTCAGAAACATTTGGATGAATTGGGTACATAAGGTGATCATGATTTGGCTGAGGGACTTCTAGTCAGTGTCCTCCGTGGCGCCCGCGTCGTCCTTCTACCGGTTGCCTGGGCGGGAGCTGCAGCTGCCGGAGTGGCCAAAGGACCCACTCCTTGGTGACCTTGCTCACCCACGTGGCCCGCAAGCAAGTGGTGAGCGTTCACCTGCGCCACCGCTTCCTCTCCAAACAACGTCTTAGCTGTCTGAGGACGCGGAGGGAAACCTGGTACCTCAGCTGCAGGTGACGCAGCAAGAAAGCCGGCGGACCCAGCAGCGTTGTCCCCACCGCAGGCTAAAGTGGCCTCCTGCTGCGCATTGACCGGTCGTGGCTCGGTCGGATTGGCACAGCAGAATTCCGAGATCATTGCTCGCACTGATGTTTTCTTTGGTTCCTTGTAATAGTATGGTGCTCATAGTGCTGTGAGCTATGATTCTTGCCATGCTTGTCTTCCTCTCGGACTCATACCGCGTTGCGGACGGTCTTCTGATGGAGGGAAAATTTCTCCCACCTACGGAAGTCAAGGAAGGTCGTGTTCCGCCAAGACTGGCTTCTCACTTTAAAGTCTCCTCCAAGACTGCTTTGACTCTCGCTTCGTAGTCGGCAGCTCCTTTGTCGTATCGTCGCTGTATTTCTCTCCAGTAAATTGGATATGCTGCCCAGTGCACAATGCTTAGCGCCTTAGTCTTGTCAGTCGGCCAGCGATCATTCTGGAAGAATCGCACGAGCGGCTTGATGGCCTTTGCAGCCTCCTGAACATTGTACACCTCCATGCCCAAGCCGTTGGCGCCATAGTGGAATGTCAAGCCGCGCAGTCTGGCGGCGCCTTTAAGTGTGACAAGGAGGCGCGCGAAGCTGGCCTTCATTCTCCCTCCAAATCCGACGATCATATCGCGGATCTGCCCAATCGATTGCACAGCTTGCAGGAGGAAGGCTTCCGCCACCTTCGGATTTCTGAAATTGAAGACGTTCTCCCCATAAAGAATTGATGCTGCCTCGTGATTGATCTGCTTACAGCTGCGCAGCAGACCTGGTGCCCAGGATTCCTGCTGACACGTGCTGGCAGAGTTGAACTGATTGCATATGCGTAATGTGGGACCTTGTCCTTGGTGCATCACTTTCAGAGGCCTTGACACGACCACACAGAGGCGGTAGATCTCGTTTCGCAGCTCCGCGGGCAAATCTAGAAACGAGGTCTTGCATTCGTCCACCTGTGCCGCCATTCTGGAGCTGCAAGTCGTCAGTCATGCCATGCGGTCGAACTTGGATGAGTCATTTACCTGGAAGCGATCTGTTGCTCTTGTGATTTGATGGATGCCATTGTGGTGTGCAGGCTGGTGCCGATACCTGTGTGATGTTGAATGAACGAGGTTGTCGTCTGTGAGGAGTAGAGCTGGCCCGATGAAAGGCGTGAGGTGGAAATTAAGTGGTGAGGTTAAGTGGAGTGGAAGAAAGCGTTTGACGCCATTCATGTGCACACCATTGTGAAGTTGCAATTTTACTCACTTGAATGCCGGGCCGGCACGGCCAGATGACAGATGAGAAGAACAGGATAGTGTTACTGAAATCTAGTCTGCGTCTTGAGGTTGGTTCCCGGTACATTGGTCACTTCAAAGTCTTCTCGAGAAGTACTTTCACCTCAGCTCCAAAACGAACGGCTTGACTTTTGGAAGACGACATAAGGCGTCGGTGACTGGCCGGTAACCATCGAACAATCCTAAGCACCTTCTTCTTATCGATGGGCTTGCGCTGCTTCCAGAAATGGCGTACAAGAGGCCCAATCACTTTCGCAGCCTCCTCAGGTTGGTAGTGTCTCATACCGCGACCAGGCCCGTTCGGACGCTCTGAGCCAAACCCTAGGGTCAGTCTGCGTAGCTCGGATGCGCCTTTGAGTGTAACAAGCAGGCGCTTGATCTCGAACTTAGGCTGGCTGACAGCTTCGACTTCAATGAATCGGAGATGCCTCAATGCATCAGGAGTGCTCTCGAAAAAGACCTGAGCCTCGCAGGCAGTGCGGAATACGAAGATGTTGTCGCCGTAGAGAATCGAGATGGATTCATCTCTGATCTGTTTACAGGATCGCAATAGAGCTGGGTTGAACAATGGCACAGTCTCCCTCGTGTGCCCGAATGTGCTGTACATGCTCGTGTACGAGCGGCAGCGGTTTCCGCCGAGGTGTACTGGATTTGGAGTTCTCAGACATATGCTGTAAATCTGGTTTCGTAACTCGGCCGATAGATCCAGAAACGACGTCTTGCCTGTAGCCGCCGGCTCAGAGATGTGGGGAAAGCTGCTATTGTCAGCCAAACTGGGTATCAGCGTGAGCACAGATTCGTTACCTCGACACTTCCAGACTCTGATGCCTGCGCTGTTGTCTCGTAATCATGGCAAAACACTCGCGTTCGCCAGTCTCAGTGTGGGTGTCAGAGATAGCAATGCAATTGCAGTTCTCGCAGCTCATATAGAACGCATTTCAGGCAGCACTGTGTCGCGAGGTGGAGCGCGTGGAAAGGTTGTGCGACAAGAACGCATATTCGTGCAACCTCAACGCGAAAAGTCCGGCTTGGAATTCTGCGATCGCCATCCTGCGATCATGCAAATGCTCGCTCGTCATTGTGCCTCTTATCTCCAGAGAGCGATTCCATCACTTTGCAGTGCATTCTGTCCTTGGATACTGGTACACCTTTCACTTCAAAGTCTTCTCGAGAAGAGCTATCACCTCAAATTCGAACTGGGCTGCTTCCTCTTGAGTTCCCGGTGAGGGAGCAAAATGGTGCCAGTTTTTCGCTGTCCAACGAATCGTGCCGAGGACCTCATTCTTTGAACTATCACCGCGCTGGCGCTGTCTCCAGAGATTGCGTATTAGCGGTCCCAATACCTTCGCAGCTTTCTTAGCGTCGTAACGCTTCATCCCGCGCCCGGGGGTATTCCAGCGATCAGGAGTAACATGAAAACTGAGCGTTAGTCTGCGCAGCTTGGGTGCGCGTTTAAGCGTGATGAACAAGCGCTCAATATCGAATTGGCGTTCGTCATCTGAAAAGACAGTAATATATCGAAGATGCAGTAATGCTACGCGAAATGTTTCCAAGAATCGTTGTGCTTGCACGAAGTTTCGGAAGCGGAAGGCGTTCTCGCCGTACAGGATCGATATGGATTCGTCTCTGATTTGTTTACAGCAGCGCAGAAGGCCTGGAGTAAAGAGCTTCACAAGTTGCCAATCTAGCGTGTGGTCGAATGTGCTGTACCACACGATGCCGAGCTTGGGGGTTTCCCCGGCGATGTGCACTGATTTCGGCGCTACCAGGCAGAGACGGTAGATTTCGTTTCGTAACTCGGGTGATAAGGTGTCCAGGAAAGACTTCTTGCTCTCGATCGCGGGCTCAGCAGTGTGGGGCAAGCTACTCTTCGTCAGCCAGGCTGTGTACTCGCAAGGACTCAAAATTCTCACCTCGAAACGTGCACGTGTTTCTGCACGGCTGGTTGACTCGTCATGGCGACATCCCCAATCGGTTAGAACAGAGAGGTGCAATTGCAGTTCTAGCGTTTCGAATAAGAAGCAATTGAGCAATGTGCTTTGAGATGGATTGATGGGGCTAAGGAGCGTGTGACAAGAACACGAGCTTTTGCGAGCTCAATGCAGAGTTTGGTATGGATCTTGGACCTTGATCACTGTCCACAGTTTTGCCTATCTTTTGCAAGTATTCAGTCAGCCCAGGCTGTTCAAGTCGTCGCTCGTTCTGCGCCCTATCTTCCAGAGAGCGTTTCAGGTCTTTTGCTGGGTCCGGTCGGCTGATCGCGCGTGAGACCCGTAGTCAATGGAAATCGATCTTGCTTCCTCGACGTGGGCAGCGCTCACGGCTTCAGATACCGCGTCGTCTCTGTTGTAATACGCTCGTGTTCAAAGAAAGATAGATGGGCATGCGTGGTGTTAAGAGTAACTAGAGCGACGCGCGACAATGCGGCCGCTCGTGATGACCGCCAAGCCTCGGATCTGATCGGCCCGGAACGCGTCCCCACGGCAAGACACGTCCTCCTCCTGCTGTCCTGCTCTCCTCCTCTTCCAATGCAACTCCAACGAAGACACCGACGATGACATTGGCAAGAAACTCATCAGTGGTGAAAGCAGGCACAAGATTGATGTCATATACGCGTACGCGTCGCTATTTCTAGTCCGAGACCATGCCTGACACACCGCAAATATGGCCCCAAAATCACGACATCGCAGCTAAGAGTTTCGCCATGTTTACAAACAACGGCCTTCCTACGTCGCCGCCCCTGCGCACAGGCACGATGCAGGTACGATGTTCGATAGACGTGACCACGTGCAACGGTTACCCCAAAAACGATTAGATATCCAAGGGCCGTCTTTGTTCGGCATCACGCTCACGCAATGCCGCGGCTGTAATTGCTAAGAGAGGGAGTCAGACTATACTAGGCATTGATAGCCATCTCTTCTTCATCATTCTAGTCTTCTTTCTCTACCCCTCCAAAACCCTCCTCACTCGAGCATACTCGCTCCGCATACCCCGCAGAGTCCTAACATCACATCATGGCACCTTCAGCAGCAGAAGTCGAAACAGCGCCGGCAGTGGCGGAAGTCACGAATGGTGTGAAGAAGCTTCTGTCCGCTGACAGCACCTCCTCCTCGCTCAAGAGAGAGCCATTGACCTACTCTGGATCTCTGGATGAATACGAGTCCTTCGACGTCACCAATGTCATTGGCAGAGAATTCCCACACCTCCAACTGAGCCAGATCTTGCACGATGACAGGAAGATCAGAGACCTTGCTATCACTGGTATGTTAGCTTCTTGACCATAGATCCTGCTCAACCTAATGATGTCCAGTCTCACAGCGCGGCGTGGTCTTCTTCCGGAACCAGGACCTCCAAATCACCGACCAGAAGATCCTGGGGCAGAAGCTCGGCGAGCTGACTGGGAAGCCCAAGACTTCTGGACTACATCGTCATGCTCTTCTCAATGGCAAGTCCCTTGGAATCAAGCTTGGCGAGAATGGGGAGGAACTGCCAGATGATGATGAGATCTCTATCATCTCCTCTCAGGCGAACAGAAAATACTACGAGGAGCGATACAAGGCAGCCTCGGTGCACCTTGCCTCCGATGGCTGGCACGCAGACATTTCCTTCGAGCCAATCCCGTCCGATTACGCCATTTTGAAGATTGTCCAACCCCCAGAGGATGCTGGTGGTGACACTCTTTGGGGTATGTGGTACAGTTCTGATTGCTCGTTTCATCTGCTAATTCCTGATAGCTTCCGGATACGAGGCGTACGACCGCTTGTCACCACCTGTCAAGAAGTTCGCCGAGGGCTTGACAGCAACGCACCACACACCCGAATTCGCTAAAACCGCAGCTCGAAATGGTCTTCAACTTGTGGACGGCGAGCGTGGCGCTCCAGAAAACGTCGGTCTTGACTTTGCCGCCTCGCATCCCGTGGTCCGAACAAATCCGGTCACAGGCTGGAAATCATTATATGGCGCCGCTGGCCAAGTAAGAGAGGGATACATTGACGACGTGACGCCCCGCGAGTCCGAGCTTCTGAAGGACTACTTCCTGTCAGTCATCGCAAACAATCACGACTTGCAGGTGAGGTTCAGATGGAACAAGAATGATCTGGCGATCTGGGACAAGTAAGTGTCTTCATGCGTGAAGCATCATGGATGTGGCTAACATCTCGCAGTCGGAGTACCTTCCACACGGCTACCAACGATTACTATGGCGCCCGCCAAGGTAACCGTGTGGTGTCGCTTGGAGAGCGGCCTTACTACGACCCTGCCTCCCTGTCAAGACGGGAGGCGTTGGCCAAGGAGGGAAAGAGGTGATACAACCTGGCGAGAATTGATAAGTGTGTGAAAGTTTGCACAGGCGAGGTCGTGGCCGCTCGCTCCATTAATCGGATCTGACCCCGAGACTCAACAAAGCTTGTGCGAGCTTCATAGCATCATGGGCTGAGTGGAAAAGGCTCACAAAACTTCGCAACTGCTTCACATTCACATGACAAGTTTTGTAAACCCTGCATGACACGAAACGATCAGAATCCACCGCACACAACGCCCTTGCAGCTTTGCTGTCCCGCTGTTGACGAATCTATGCCATGCGGGCTTCCGCCGGGCAGCAAAATGGAAAACGTGATCAAGATGGCATGCTTCGCTCGTGGGCTGAAGTACTTCCTCACCTCCTCGTGACTCAGCATTTCTGCGGCGTATCCAAGGCACTCGGTCTCGCGAAGCGGAATAGTCGCATGATCAAGGTCGCGGCGAGAGAGCAACAGTGTCGTTACTTGCGGGTTTCCATTTTGCTGTCCGCACCTAGGCGGGATTGTATACGCATTCTAGACTTCGCTGATGTAACATGCTCCGATCCTGTAGCGAGTTGACTTTCGTAGGACTGAGCTTGGCCAGAATCCTTTTGGTGCTGGAATGAACTTGACATGAAGTTCTGCAAGAACCCACCAAGCTTGGCGCCGTGGACGATTCGGGCAGCTGGCACAACGCTCGGCGGTCTTCATGCGTGCTTGCCTTCACTTCAAGCCCTATGTGCATCAAAAGACAAGGACGATTCAAGCTAGAGCACAGCCGCCCTGTCATCACGGCGAAACTCTTCTGCTTTCCGGCTTACTTGAAGCACTGCCTCCGAGGAATTGAGCAAGCAGGGATCCCGAATCTCGACCGGCCGACCTCACCGATGGCCAGTCATCGTTATATGACTGAAGCGGCAACAGCACAACATGGAAAGTGCATGACCCGGCCGTACATGAGTGCTGGTCCAGTCCAATTACTTTGTTGAAACCTAGATGGAGCCTTATACAGATTGCTCAAACGGCGGAGCAACGCGGAACGCGTGGTGCTGACACCGATCAACTGTCGCTTGTACGCATTTTGGAAACTGCCTCGGCTTCTTCTTCCTTGCCAATAACGACTGCTCTCCGGATCTATGCTTCCAATTGGACATTTTGTAGGGCTCGATGGAAGCAATGGACAGCGATATGGAAGGCGTATATATAGGCAATCGCTTCCTGCCATGTGCCTCATTCGACTAGAGCTAATAAAGCAGAAATATTCATATCAAAATTAATACATCAACATGGGATCGATTGATCAGACCGAAGACTCCAAAGCCATACACACCGATGTTTTGGTAATTGGTGCTGGTTTCACTGGCATCGTAGCCATCCATCGACTTCGCAAACAGGGCTTCAACGTCAAATGCTTTGAGCAGGGCGAGGGATTCGGAGGTGTTTGGTACTGGAACAGGTATAATCATCAAAGCATAGCAAAGAGTACAAGTCGGTACTGACTGCAGTAGATACCCTGGTGCTCGAGTCGATTCCGAATGGCCATTTTACCAGCTGGACATACCCGAATTGATCAAGTCATGGACATTCTCCGAACGCTTCCCAGGCCATGAAGAGATTCGAAGGTATTTCGAGCATGCTGATGAGGTGCTCGATTTGTCGAAAGATACCTATTTCAACGCGAGGGTGGTCGAGGCGACACGAGACGATGAGAAGAATTTATGGACGATCAAAACCCAGCAAGGGCATGTTGCAACTGCCAAATACCTCATACTTGGAACTGGTCTGCTCCATCGCTCCTATATGCCAGATTTTCCTGGTTTGGAAAAGTACAAGGGTAATTTGTGTCATTCGGCAAACTGGCTCAAAGATTTCGACGGCAAAGGAAAGAAGATTGGCTTGATCGGAGCAGGAGCGACAGCAGTACAGATCACTGAGCAGTTGGGCAAGGTTGCTGAAGAGCTCGTTGTGTTTCTCCGGCGACCTTCCTATTGCTTGCCAATGGGACAGCGAAAGATTTCCGCGACAGAACATGACCAACTACGCCCATACATTCCTGCACTGATGAAAGCAAGCAGAGAATCCATCTCTGGATTTCCAACGATCCCATTATCAGGAAGTATGCTCGCGAACCCAAGAGAAGTGTGGGAAGCTGAGCTTGAGCGCGTCTGGAGTTTGGGCGGTTTTCATGCCAACCAGGCCACTTATCGTGAAATCTATGTCAACCCGGAAGCAAACGAGCTACACTATCAATTCTGGCGCAAGAAAGTCTGTCAACGCCTCACAGACCCCGAAAAACAGAAAATCATGGCCCCCGAGAAGAAGCCTTACCACATCGGAACAAAACGCTGCCCTCTCGAACAGGACTACTACGAAGTCCTAAACCAACCCAATGTCAAACTCCACGATCTCAAAGCTGCTCCTTTGAAAGAGTTCACCGAGAGAGGAATCATCACCTCCGACGGCAAAGAATACGAATTCGACGCCGTAGTTCTCGCCACAGGTTTCGACGCTTTGACAGGCTCTCTCACCAAACTCGGCCTCAAAAACAAAGACGGCGTCGACTTGAAAGATCTCTGGGCCAATGGTGTTTCTTCCTATCTCGGTCTCGCCATCTCCGGTTTCCCCAACGCTTTCATGGCTTACAGTCCTCAAGCTCCCAATACCCTTTCCAACGGCACCACGATTCTTCAATGCCAGATTGAAATCATTGTTGACATGATAAATAAATTGGAAGGCGAAGAGATTAAATCTATTGAACCGACGCCTGAGGCGGAGAAGGAATGGAAAGCGGCGATTAGTGAATTTGCGGATCGTACATTGTTTCCGCAGACGGATTCTTGGTGGAATGGAGCCAATATTCCAGGTAAGAAAGCGGAGTTTTCGACTTTTCTTCCGGGTATTGCTGTTTATGAGCGGAATTGTCGCGATACGTTTGAGAATTGGAGGGGATGGAAGGTTGTTAGGAATCAGTAGTCAGAAAAAAGGGCTCACTCGGGATGAACACATTGGTGTAGCAGCCGTGACGAATAGAATTATACATTTGGCATAAAGACTGTGCTCCCTGACACTGCTCTCTTTGACCCTTCCTCCTCGCGAATCTCTGATGAAGCGACTGTTCTGTGCCTCTTTGCAATCACGGCAACATATAGCCATCCGCATCAGCACCTCGGAAGCTGTGTCCAGTCCAGACATTCTTGATAGCCACTTTGTGACCATGAAGGTCGATGTCGCGTCGCACAAGATGCTGTTTCTTTTTCAACCCACGTTTCGTCAACTTGTAGGGCCGGCCATACATGTTGTCCGCCATACTTTTGAACCCTGTCCCTGCGACGCAGTGGTTAATGCCGTTGAACGCCGTGTCAGCGACTGTCTTCCACTGGGCGGTCATGTCGACTGCCATTTGAGGAGTGTAGAAGATTCTGCAATCTGCAGGCTCATATTGAAAGTGTAGCGGAACGTTCGAAGTGTCGTTTTGTCGAAAGCCGTCTCTTGCGTTGATGCCGCTGGCGAGTGTACGGTATAGTGCCAGGTTGTTGTATTTGCCAAAGATAGTGTTGTTCTGGTAGTAATCTCGTGATTTGATGTACTGATATTGGAAAGGCATGAGAGCGTAATAAAGAATCGCGCCCAAGCTCAGACTGTTGACTCCTTTGACGCCTCCAACGGCCTGTGTGAGGTTTTTGTTTGGTCGACCTCCCATGTTTATGAGTTTGACGCCACCTTGAGTTTTCATAAGCTCCGCGAAAATGGTGCACGTTGATGCACAGTAGCCGTCTGTCACGATGACAATATTCTCGGTTAGGAAGGGTTGTGTTGTAATGTTGGAGCGATTAGTGTAACCAGACACTTCAATGCCACCAGAGTTTATCGTGGTGAGAGTGTCGCTCAGGTTCCAGCGTTGCAAGCTAGTGTAGTTGTCTGCAGAAGGACCAAATATGTCTGGTCCAAACTTCTGATCCCAGCAATCGAAGTTGGTGTAATTTATGTTCACATCTGAGCGATAATTCCATGATGTTGCAACATATAAAAGGGCTGTTTCATTGAGGTCCAAGCTTCGGTTTTCGACTCGTCCAGAGAATTCGCTAATCTCTTGTCCAAGGATGTCAATAGCTTCGTGAGCGCGGTATCGATTTCCTCCATACGGAAGCACCTGAGGAAAGAGCTGTTTGAATAGATCAAACCCTTGTAAAATTGTCCCGCCACCGTTTGCTGAGACATCGATGATGAGCTTCGTTTTGTTTCTGGCCTTGGCTTCATTGATGAAATAAGTGTTGATAGCTTGAAAGGGGATCTGGTCTTCACCCGTGCCAAGGAAGGACTGGACGCTGAGCACCGCCACATCATTATATCCTTCACCTTCCAGAAAGTACCCTCCGTTCGTGTTGTTGCCTTCACGAATGAATGGAAGTGGAAACCCGGGAGCCGGAAGCGGTGGCGTAGCTGTGGCCGTGGTCGCGCTGACTGTTGAGTTGGAGGTCATGGTGGCGTTCGAGGTCACAGTGGGCGACACGGTGGTGGAAGAACTCGTAGAAGCCTGCAACGAAGTCTACAGATCAAGTTGTCAGCTAGGTTTCATGGGGATAGTGTAGTTGGAAGTGCTGCAATAATGCGCTTACCGCGATCTGGTACGCATCCATGAGACTTTCAGCCGGCGGGATGAAATACTCCTTGTAGATGTCCTGCCCACTCGTGATGTTGTTGAACGCTTGCAGTACCCGAGCATGATTCTCTCTTGTGATACAAGTGCCATTTGCAAAGGTCAGCGTAGTATTTGGCCCCGGGTAATGGATCCGTCCGCGACCTCCACCTGCGAAAGAGCCAACGCCACCGCCATTTGGGCCCAGAGCTACCTGGGCGAGGTTGTAGAATAGGCCGTTCCACAGCGCATCCCTATCTTGGAGACTTCCAATCTGTGACCAATCTAGCAAGAAATCAGTGGACTCCTGGCCGTCAATCCGGACGATCGGGCTGGGTTTGTAGGTAGCGTTGCCGGCAGTGGTTTCCAGGATATCCTCGTAGGCGAATATCTCAGGTATGGACATGCCATCCTTTGACACAGAGACAATTGGCGTAGTGCGGTAAAACGCGAAGATGCCGGTGATCGAGTCGGGAAAGAGGACGAAATGGCCATCATGTGTCCGTTGAAAGCACGTGTAGAGGTCGAGACCAAACTCATATTCGCTGAGATACGATCCGGCCTTTGCACAGTCATCGATTCTTTCGAATTCGGCCAGAATATCATAAGGTGGCTGGATCTTCTCAGCGTACTCTTTTGGTGGATCTTTGATCCACTGTAGGGTGCTCTGCCACTGCAAGTATGGACGAATGGAGTCTATCAGTGCAACTGACAAATCGTTAGAGTGGCAAGGGGCATGACCATTTGAGACATACCTGCTGCGGACTGATTGAACGGCACGCTGTTGATACACTCATATGCCAAACTTGCCCCCACAGTGGGAATGGCCTTTGGCTTCGTTGCTGACGATGCCAAAGCAATCAATCGAATACTCGCGCAGGCATTGACAGGTGTCGCAGACGAATTCAAACAGGTAGTGTTGGACCAAGGTGCTGAGAGCGAGCCAGGTGGATTTGTGATGGTAGTGAGGACGCTGCTGGTTGTGTTGCTGCTTTTCGTGTGCGTGCTGTTGCTCGGTCTCGTTGATGTTGCTTCTGCGAGACCCGGCAAGGACACAGGATCCTGAGAAGGCGTATAGACAGCGGGACCTCTGTGAAGCCATCAGAGTCATGTCATCATTGAGCAATTCGAATCGCAATTTGACTTTGCGCAATCAGCGCAACGCAAGACTCACTCCGGCCATCGTTCTTCCCAGTATCTCCACTTTGGTTCATCCTTCGCTGCTTGTGGTGCAGCATACGCTATAGCAATGGCTGCAACAGCGAAGGCTGCGATTCGCCACATCACTTGTGGAAGAGAAAGTCGAACAACGAGGCCGGGCGATACAACTGTGGCCGACAGCGTGGAACCCAAATAGAGACTCTGCAAGGATGGTCGTGCAATAGTATCAAGGATGGTCGAGGATGATTATAAGCGCCAAGGAAAGACAAGCAGGAGAGGACGCGGTGGGCGGGAGGGTGAAATAATGGTAGATGACGGTCCGGTACAGATAGACATGGCGTCTGGTTTGCTGGTCGTGATACTCTCGCCCTCACCCGTTGCGCGCATGGTCGTGCCTGAGTCGGTAGTGTTGTCACTGCCGTCCAGCTTGGCGGAAGCGAGAGGGGCAAGGCACGCGCACGTACAATCATCTTGTATCTTGTGAGGTGGTGCCGCAGCACGCATCGCATCGCGCGTGTTTGGGAGTCGGCGGTGCCATTGTTGGTGTGTCGGTGCGTCGGCGGTACACATCTGGCGAGCGCCGAGCGGACGTTTGGTAGGACAAGCGCTCGTACGCTCGCGGCCGCGTATTCGGCAGCCAGTCGCGTGTGATGAGATGCCCCCGTCACTGTCACGGTTGGGTGCGGTGATGAAGTTTGGATAAACACGCCGGGAAGTCTGTTGGTGGTGCCAAGACCAACATCCGCCCTCTCCGGAGCGGACCTCCGTAACTCCGCCTCATCATCTTCGTCGCTCTTCCCCGCTGTTCTCTTCAGACACACGCTCGGAGGTACGTGCAATTGCCATTCCCGTGCCTGACCGCATGCTCATGCTGCTGCTCAGTGCCACTCCAGGTTGCCCTGGAACGCCACAAGTTACGCCAGCGGCAACACGTCCCTCATATGACTACAGCGTTAGTCGGCTGTACACGCTGAATCTTGCGTGCAGAGCAGTCGGGTCCGAGCTGGAAAGCGCCACCTTCACGCCTGGGAAGCAGCCCGGAAGGTCGAAATCAAGTTTGCCACAAGCCCCCTCTGGTATAAAGCGCTTTGACTACTTCCGCTGTTGGCCGATGAGTCCTTCGTCCGTAATCACTGAAAGACCAGGGCTTGAGATTTCAGATTGATCCAGTAGCACATTTTTGTGCCAGGAAAGAAGCATCTGCAACGACCATCTTTCCAGCGCTACGTCGACACAGTGTGCGGCCTGTGGGTATAGCCAGGACAATGACTGCGTCGCTTCGCTGGTGCTTGCCAAAGCAAACTTCATCTCCGCCCATCTCCGTTTGTGTCTCCTGAGCACAGATTCATACCACGTGTGTCGAGGTAACAGTGCTACCTTCTGAACCTGGTTTCCGGAAGCCGAGAAGCAGGCCATGGTCGTGCGAGCAACACTTTCCTAGGCACGATGCGGTGATCCCATGCGAGCCGCGTTGTGCTCGGCTAATTCAGCAGAGAGAGAGATGACCAAGCGCCCTGCCGTTCAGCCATGCGGAGTACTACTTCGAGGGAAAATGCAACTGCTGCGTCTGGCTGAATGTTGGAGCAATCCAAGGCACAACCACTCGATTGTGTGACACATTCACGGTTTCAAAATATGTGCAAGTTGCATACAATCTGCTGCCATTTTGTACTGATATCAGCGAAAGTCAAAGCGCTCAAGCAACTCTGAAGCTTTCTGGCGGGCCCAAATAGCTCGGCTTCAAGCCACCAAGATCCACCCAAGCACTTCCTAGAACTAACGCTGGCTCCAGTGCCCAGATCGTCAGCGTATGTTCTCCGGGACCCGAATATGCGAATGTCAAAGTGTTCTTCCATGCCATATCCGCAACAGCTTGCAACCAGCCTTTCGGGTTCTGACCATTGGGCTGATCGACTACAGGCTGGACAGTTTGGACCTCTTCGTCGTCAAGCTGGACGGCGTATCGAAGCGGCCGTGTTGGATTCGTGTTGAGAGAAGGCGTAGTGAGTATCGTGATATTGGTGCTGTTGATGCCTTCAGTGAAAGTGTAGAGATTGTATCGCAGAGCAGGGCCAGCAGCAACGTCCTGCGAGTTGGCCGTGACGTTCGACAGCGTAACACCGCTGCCTGTCTTTGTGAGGCTAGGGATGACTTCGTATGTGACGGCATCGGAACTGTTGACAATCTCGCTCCAGTGCTCCAGCTGGATCGACAAGACCGAGTCACTCTCTACGAAGCCGTTCGTGAAATCATCTGGAATTCGAGTATTGTTAATGTTGAGCCATAGCTGAGGCATGTTGAACTGCGCGCCGTACAGAGCTTGCTGAAGGTATTGTGTGGAATTGTCCTCCGATCTGGAGATGTTGACCTGAACAAGGTGATGCACCTCATCAGGGACGTTCTCCCAGTCGACATTGACCCAAACACGGACATCTGGATCCTCAGGAGCCAGAGAGCCAGAGCTCTGCGAGAAGTTTAGCCAGGTCGCATTGGCACTTATGGACCACTCAAATGGTAGCGTGCCAACCTGGAAGATGTCGATCCATTGTGCTTGGCCGTAGCGATTGTAAGGATTCATGGTCAGCGCATTCGAACCTAGGCTGTGCCAGCGATCATCCCCAGGGACTGAGGCATTTGATCCTTGAATGGCAACCTTCATGTCGCCGACAAGCGAGCGCTCCATACTGGCCACGTATCTCAATGGTGGGAGTACCTGTCTCATAGGCTGCTGCCAGTAGGAATAGCCGATATGCGTTTGGTCCATCATGTGATTCCATTTGCCGTCGAGCAATTCGTGATATTGCTTTGTTAATTGCTGATCCTTCGTGAAAAGCTCTCGAACACGATCTGCAATGTCGTTCGCGCTGTTGCGGCCCTGATCTGCGTACAAATTGTTGAGGGCGGCAGAAATCATGATGTCGTGGTAGTTGGCTCCGGCCGTGACTGGATGGTAGACCAGTTCGAAGAATGCCGGCTTCGCATCATCTGATAAACTGTCATAGATGGCTTGAGCCTGGCGTTGAGCGTCACGCCACTCTTCGAGGACGCGATCTGCCTCGCTGTAGTCGAGGATGCTATATGTGCTAGGATCCACCAGTTCGAATTTGCGGCGGCTCGATAGCTTCCCGTAGGCGTACATCACCTCGGCAGTTTCTGCAGCCACATCTTGTCCGAACTCACGAGCTGCCCATTGTTGCAGGTATGCTGGTGTACTGTCCTTGTCGAATCGTGAGATATCGTATGCCATGTCGAGAAAGTGGCTGATAGGTAGTTCCACAGGCTTGAGATCTCCAACATTGACAACCCTGAAGCCTGGTTAGCTTTCCTACTCCCTAGTGCGTAGTCTCCTCCATTTTCAAGGAACCATATGATCAACTCACCAGATTTCTCGCGCCTGCCTCTCATATGCGAGCCTCATCTGCTCCCAAGTCTTGGTCAACTTGGTCGTGCTGATCCACTTGTAGTTTCGGGGATCGCCGACGTAGTCAAAGTGATAGTACACGCCAGCTCCTCCACTGCGTGCCGTCTCATTTCCAACAGGGAGACGCCTGATATTTCCATAGTTGTCCTCAGCCCAGAGCAGTGTGATATAATCTGGGACCTGCATTCCTTGTTCATAGTAGCCCTGAACTTCCTTGTAAAGACACCACAATTGAGGCACTGTTGACGCGTCGCCATGGAACCTTTCCAGAATCTCAGTCTGAGCAGCAACGACAGCCTCGAGTAGCTCGGTCTGGATGTCATCGCTGATGGGAGTGTCGTGATACCCTCGCATGCCGACAGTGACTACATTGTCGTAGTTCTGGCTTCGCTCTATGCCGTCGACGAAGAACTCGTATATGGAGGCGTTATTGGTACCCCAGAACCACTCGCCCTCGCCGAACTCGGTCCACTCTTTTGTTGCCCTGGTCATCGGTTCAGTGTGTGAAGTACCCATGACGATGCCATAGTCGTTGGCAAGTGGCTGGGTCCTCGGATCGTCGACATTAAACATGCTGTTCCACATGGCTGGCCACAGGTAGTTTGCTCGTAGTCGGAGCAGCAGCTCGAAAACGGTTGAGTAGAATTCAGCGTTGAAGCCGGGTCCATACTCGCCCGGTGGGAAATTATCCATGATCCAGCCAGTGAGGCCTGGGGCCTCATCATTGATGAAGATACCTCGATACTTGACAGACGGCGGTCCTTGGGTCACGGAGACGTTGCTCGCGTAGATTTGATCATGCTTCTGGCCAGGGGCATCTGCCCAAAAGTGCCAAGGCGAGACACCAATTTGTTCGGAGATGCTGTAGATACCAAAGATGGTGCCACGCCTATCAGAACCTGTGCAATGTGAGCTGTGGATGTATGGTGCGCCAGGAATTCTCACAAACCTGCGATGACCAAAGCCTGCGCTACATCGTCGATTGGGTTGTCCACGAGAACTGAAATGTACGACTCCCAGTCATCCTGTATCTCACTGACATCGATGACACCTCGCTGAACCAAGTCGTCGATGACGTGAGAGTGGCCAATTGTGCCTGCAATGACCGTTGCACCAGTAGCAGACGCGCTTTCAAGCTCGAATGAAGTCTTGTTGTTGACAGCCAGGATCAAACTTGTGTTGGATCGACCTGCTTCGTCTCCGGCGACCAAACGTAAGCCACCATTGCTTCCTGTTACGCGACCAAAGTCTGCGGCAAGGTCATTGCAAGCCTTCAGCACGCCTGGAGAGTCGTTATCAGCACATTGAATTTGAGGAGAAGAGCCCGGAGCAGCCAATTCCAAGCCGTGCCCTTCGAAATTGATCGTGGCCTCCTGCCAGATGGCCTGAGAAGTGGCCAGAAACGCCGTCAACGACAGGAATCGATACCGCCCCATCATCTTAGCAAATCGACAGGTCGCTCACCGTGGTATCACACGCACAATATATACTGCGGCATTCAGCCTGCTTCATGGCTTGCTGAACGAGGAGATGGCGAACGTATTAACGGCTAAATCGTACGCCGAGACCTACTCATTAGCGACAGTGAAGGCTCTGCCGGCTTGACTAGATCTTGAACCTGCGATACCCCAGATTTAAAGTGCCGATCACCAGAGAGGTAAGTGGACAGTCTCCAGAATCAGGCTTGTGACCCCCATATCCCCAGTCTCGCCAAGGCGTGACTTTAGCCGGCCAGGCTCAAAAACGGATACAGCACGAGCTGTTATGGCAGTGGCTAGACTCCAGGCGAGATGCCCTCTCCTTGGCAGCAAAAGGCTGCTCGATCTAGGTTGCAGAGTCATTCAGGTCTTTAGATCCTGGGATGGAATCCTGTGACAACTGTTCCATCACAGGGACTTCGCCGGAGTTCTGGATTGAAGCAAAGGCGTTCATGCATTGAATATGTGATTATTGGCCGTCCTGGGTGGTTCCGAGTGCTGCGAGGCAGAACGAAATTCTGCAGCCGTTACGTGAAACATTGTCACTGTCAACTCTCAGGCGTTTGAGCGTCTTTGCTGCCTTTCGAACAAACTACGCGTCTTCGTGCAAATAGTAGCGTGCGAATTTCGCGAACGTCGTCCCATTGTTCATGATTCGGCTTGAGATGCTATGCTACGGACTGCCGCATATTTTCTGTCCTGACTGGTGAGGTCCAGCATGACGGCGACAAAGTGATGTCCCGTGCCGTTGTCCTGATCGCGTTCCTCGTGTGAGAGGCGCAGCAGTTGCAAAATAGAAAGTCAGCAGCATCGGCCCGCGATCCTCCGAATGTCCGAATCATCGCGGACGCGTCTCCCTCTTTGCCATCTGCCACCACTTCTCTTGTCACTGACAAAGCGTACCATCAGCATCCTCGTCCGAACACGCATACGAGAGACATTTCTGCACCAGCTCTTGCAATGGCGGAGTGCTGTATGCCAGTCTGCTTTCGGATATCCTGCCGAAACAACATCAGCAGCCTTCGGCACTCGCCATCCACATACCGATGGTCAGAAATGCCACATGCGAAAATCCTGAAGCCTCACGCAGGCGCTTATTGGTCCTGTTCCTGTGACGCGTCGGAGCTTCATCGCTGACGCCGTGTTCACTGCCTCGAAACGCCTCAGCTGCGTCCCAAAGCAGCATCGGCTTTAGGCCGCCAGCCACAATTGACAGGGGTATTCGCTGGAGGATACCTTGATACGAAGCCTCACCAGAAGAACCACCATGGAGAGTCAGCGTGACATCGGCTTCGGTGTACAAATATAAACCCCTGCTCTTTGTATAGAGATGACATGCTGCAGGCGGCGTTGAGAACGAGTGAGTATATGAGCGCTGATCTCTACTAGGAGCAGATTTCTTGCACAGTATCATAACAGCAACAAGAAATCTTTCCTACACACACCTTCGCTTGAGTGGTAAACATCAGACACTCGTTTGATCTGCCTGAAGCAACGACTTGTTTTTCTTCTTTTCGGACAACGGGACGAGACATTCGCTTGTGCTACCTCTTTTCCTAGGCGAAACAGTACCGATCAAATCATGCAGACTTCATTAGCGGTGCTGGCTCTCCTGAGCGCTGCGAATGCTTTTCCGGGCGGCCGGCATGATGGGTACAGCAATTTCAATACTACGAAGGTCGTCGGAACACAATCGTCGGGTTCCGCTGTCAACACAGGGGCAACTCCGACTTCAACATGTCTCGAGTCGAGTATTTCGAGCAGCTCTGCATCGACGGCCAGACCTCACTCATACGGCACTGGCGGTGCTCCATGGCAATATCACCCTGGTACCGGCGTTCCATCTCGACCACATCCATACTACACAAGTGAAAGCCACAAGCCATCGGCTTCTGCGACGGCACACATTACTGAGACAACGATAATACCCATCACGAAAACGATCACGAGCCATGTCCCGTGTAGCACCGAGATCACCACCAACGGCCAAAGCTGGTGGAGCACATACCTCACAGCCTCCTATTACACGACCAGCTACGTAACAACGTCTACAATCGTTGCACCACAACCAACGACAAAGCCTGCCACGTGGTATGGGGGAGACTCGACTTTGAATCCGCATCCCGCTCCATGGCATGAGCAGTGCCCACCGCAAGCTACAGTCACCGAGACAGTGACCAAATACATCAGCCTGCCGTCACCGAAGCCTGAAGAGCCGAATCACCCCATGACTACGAAGACTTTGACGTTGACTCTTGATCATGATCATGTCACAACCATCACGGTCTCATACCCGGCACCATCAGCTGCACCTGTGAAAACGACCAAAGATCACGTTCTGCCACCATACCCAACCAAGAGCAGCAGCAAAATCCGAGGCCAAGCTCATCCTACAGGTGGCTATCCCCATGGAACTGGGATGTGGACATATGCTACAGCTTCAGGCACTCAGCCAGTGGCAAGTGGCTACGGGCTTTCGAGTTCAAGCACCGTTAGAGCGGGCAGCACCGGTGCGCCAGGGCGATATTGATTCAGAATTTCCAGCGATCGGCTATAATGATGCATGAAAGACACGTAACGGACCAGACATAAACATCAGCATTCGCAATGGCGTTCAACAGGAGGGCGGGAATGACAGGACGAGAAAAATAGATAGAGTGTATCATAACACAATGTAGTAATCAAAGATCTCTTTCACTAGACTACAGGATGTGTCATCGTTATGCGCTTGAATGTAGGTCTCTCAGGCATGAGCAGACTGTTGAAAGCAGAATCTCACCAGCCTCGAGTCTCTTTCCACCGGCAAATATGTGCACTCGCCCACGACCAATACTTCATTCTTCCGCATATCAGCAACCATTTCGCCGACAAATTCGCAAAGTTCTGGGATCTGCGTATCTTGCTCGAGTAACAGAGGACTGGTCAGAGTCTAGTCTTTGGAAGATGGGCTGTTTGACTCCGGTGCGACGGCTGGAGAGACCACTGCCGCGATGGGCATCGACGATGACTTGCTTGCATTCTCCTTTGCGAGCGCCGCTAGCTCTTCTTCATCAATTGGAAACATCTGTCTGACGCGGCCGTAACCATACTTTGGACGGGGTTGGGTATCTTTGACTTGCACCTTGGTCTTATCTTGCTCGTCATCAGAATCAGTGCTCAGGGCGTTGATCTCAGCGGCAAGGATTTCAACTGAGGATTCGGGTCTGCTGACTGACTGCGCTGGCTTCGTCTGCTTCTTTGTCGAGGCGTCTTCGAACTGGTGCTTCCGATTTGGCTTCTGTTGCCACTCTTGTCTGGGCTCCGACTTTGAAACTTCTGTCGCCTCGACTTCTGCTTGCTACGACGCTTCCAGGGAAGCGTGCCAGCTGGATCAAGGTTCGACTGGAAACGCACTGAGCTGGATGTTCTTGGCTCGTATTGATCACTGCTTTGCTGATCGTCCCAGTCGGTCGGCTTGATGACTCTGCCTTGTGGCGCCGTTTTGACTGCTGTGGAAGGTGTGAAACGCATGGAAGAGAGCTCTTTGGGCAGTTTCGGCTCAGTCGAAGGCTTATCCGTAACAAAAGCAATCTTCTTCTCGGCTGCTGGGCTCTGCTCGTGATCCTTCACCTGTATCTTTTCCAACTTCTCGATCGATTTCTGCGCGAGCCCCGAAAGACACGTCGGAGCTTGCGTCAACAGTGGCGTGTGCTCCGGTTGAGATCCCTCATTGCGCTCGAAGGTGACGATATTGGAGCTCGTTCCGAAAGCAGGGTCAGACAAACGACGAGATATGAAGCTTGAGTGGGTGGTGGTGGTCGATTCGGATGACGAAGCGACGAAGCATTTCAGCGCAGTCTCTTGTTGCTTGCCGATTGCGAGGAGAAGCGATTTCAGGCGGTTATTGGTGAGCGAGGCACCTTCGTACTCTGCAAGAGTCAGCGTTGCCGCGTGCGCAAAGATTTGTGACTTATCTGTTTGAGTCAAGGGCTCACTGCGCGTCGCGAGCGTAAGAACTCTCTCGAATGGCGGGGCGTCAGGTTCGTTTGCCATGGTCGTGGGTGTAGTCGGTTACCTGAAGTCAGTGGACAAGAAGCGTGCTGTGAGTAGTAGGGAAGTAATGTGACCGCCACAAATTGTGTGCAGACCGTGTGTTGTTGAAGAAGAGAAAGGAAAGGAAGAAGAATGAGCGCGTGGCCGCACTCGAATATCGCACTTGGCGGCGCTAGTGCGCTAGCACTTTTGTTTGCTCGACCTCTTTCTAGAAGCAAACAGAAGCCAGGCAGCGAGGTTGTTGCCTAGCTGAGCCTCGCTCAGTTGAACATGTTGGAAGTTCACTGGGTAACACGGCTGCGTGGAGCTTTTGCGCCTCGCGTTGCCGGGCACATGTCTACTCAGGGGTCGGGCTTTGCGGAGCTTCACTTCACTTTGAGTAATAACGACTGCCTCACATCCTCGACTGTTGGGAAACCCGCGACCACACACTCTTCGACCAGTGGCCTCAGTTCATGTCTCCAACACATGCAACGTTCGGGCACGGACATAACCTTCGCTTCGACAACAAATTGGCACTATGGGGCGTGCATTCGTAACAAATTTGCAGTGCAATCACGCAGCCCTGCCAAGGTTCGTCTGGATCTCGAGTGGCTCTGCAAGACGTGAGTCTCCCTTCTTTGTATAGCCGATCGCATACTTTCCGAGCAGCGCGTTGTACTCGAAGCTCGTACGTGAAGTGATTGACCGTCAGGCAAGTCTCTGGTGAGTGGCACAGAGAGGATCGAACAGCCAGGTACGGGGTTTCCTTTCCGTCAGGCATTTCGGTTTGGAATTCGTTCATAGCCACGGATTGAGTCTCGTCTTTTGCCTGTGTGTGAGGAACATAGACAGCTGGAACATCCTTCTGCAAATCGAGCTCCTTGGCCCAGCGCGGAGTTCGTGCAGGGTTCGGCTATTGTACTTTCCTGAGGGTTTCTCGGTTCACGAGCATGGATCCAGCACATGCCAACTTGAGGAACTAACCCAGGTTGGTCTGGCATCAGTGCTTTGTGTTGTGCTCACGACACCAAATCTCATGTCCAATCGTCCAACTCAGAGCCCTGAAAGAGAAATTGGGCTGTCGGAATGCAGCATCCCACCATGGCTGCATGCAGTCGAAGTCGAGATTGAGGTGGGGGTTGGCACTCTGCATTGACTGGCCGTCTTCCCGTGGGAGCAGAATGAGAATTGTCCCTCGCAGAAAGAATTATGCATTGGCGATGCAGTGTGTCGTTAGCGTCTCATCAGATCATCAGTGTGAGGCATGTTGACGCGCACCGAGTCTCGGAAAGATTTCTGCAGGACCATGTGGACGAAGGCTAAACACGTTGGCAGTGAGAGCCTTCGGGAAATCGGGGAAATATGCGCAAGTACTTGGGTCTCGATCAGATCTCTGCGGCGCGATCTTGCTCGGGGCTCGGCAGGTTGGCGCTCAACCCTACATTGCTGCGGAGTGAGATACTTCGGCTTGCTGAGAAACAGGCTTCTTCGATGGCTACATGCATCCGGAGTTGAGATTCAGATGCGGACTGGCATCTTCCATAGACTCATTGTCCTTCCATGGATGCAGGTCCGGGATGACGCCTCGGAGAATGAAGTATGCGTTCATACTGATCGACGTGCGCAGCGTCTCATCAGTGTAGGAGTCGATCTTGAAAGAGAAGCATGCCTTTCCCTCCTTGTTTTGCGTCGATGGTAATTGGCGTCCACGCTGGATGGTGACTTCACGGGTCGCTGTCATGGCTACTAGAGGTCGCCATGGCTCTACCATGGTGGCGACGGTAGTGTGGACGTGTGGATCGACGACAGCTCTTGGACGGCATACAACATGCCGTCGATTTGTGTATGGGTTTGCGTGACGTTGCGTCGACTCAGTTTTGTCGTTCCCTTACCTTCCAGGTGCTCCATGAATCTGTCGATAGTCGAAACATTCCCGAAAAGCCGCTCTAAAAACTTACGGAGAGGTGGATGCGAACGAGTCATAACGACATGAAATCGACCGTGAATAATCTTACGCATTGGCAGTCCCCAATCGATCATGAAACGGATGCGCTCTAGACTGTATTTGCCCAGTTCCAGTGCTTCAATTAGCCAGGCAACTCGTTCGCATGTCGGAGAGACGTATCCGCTGAGAGCGGCACATATTTGCCGTAGACTGACATCCTCGAGCGCGTGATATGCTTCATCGCCCTTGCCATTGGCTATGAGATCGTCTGCGCCGGTGGCCCGCACCTCTTGTTGGCGGTCGGAGCTCAGGTCGGGGATCATCTGCTCGTATGAAAACGGATTGACGATGCGACCGTTCGCCAGATCATCGCTCTCAGACTCACTTGCATCATCATGGCTGAGCAGACAGTCTGTGGCATTGCGATCATCGGTGTCTGAGGTCACTGGCGCACTGGCCGATGATTGTGTGAGGTTTGAAGCATCGAAATCGAGATCCCGGTCGTTGTCTGTCTCTGACGGATAGCCCTCAAACACGTCCTGTACAACGCCGCGCCGCCGTCGGAATTGGCGAGTAGCTGAGCGACGCTGATCTGTTGTTCTCTTCCTCATGCGCCTCTTCCGAGTGTTGACAACTATGGTAGCCTCGTCGCTGTCGCTAGGAATCTCGATGACTTTTGACTGCGAGATTGACATGTTCTTGCGCTTTCTCGTCGTTGCAGGGATCGCCAGGGACCGCGACTCGTCCTCTGGCTCACTCACATGGGTGCCGAGACGTGGCAAGAAGCCGGTCGATGGAGCAGTAGAGTGTGCTTGTAGAGTGGGTGAGCGACTTCGTCCTCGCGCGGCGCTGACCGGTGCTGGAGAAAGCATTTCTTCATGCCGGAAAAGAGAGATTTCATGGCGAGAAGATCTAGCTTTGACTCGGTCTGAAGACGTGGTTGGCTGCGTGAAAGTGGTTCCTCCCGAGCAGAGGGAAGACTTGATCGACTGGACGATGCATCTCTACGGGCCAGAGCGACCTCTGTGTTTGTACAGGAGGGGCGCGAGGACCGGCAGGAGGACCGTTTGCTTGAGCGGAAGACCGATTTGTCCGTGAGGCAGAAAAGCTGTCTGCTCTACTGGGAGGAAAGATCTTGCGTGTAGAAGCTGTCGTTGTGGTATGCAGACTGTCAAACACGTCCTTGAAGCCCTCGCGCAGGGCGTCGATGACCCATTCATCGTCGTTGATATCACCGAGAGCAACGATGCTGTTGAGGAGGTCGGTGTCCTCCTGTGACATTCTTCTGCGTGATATTTTTTGGAGGAAGTTAAACAACTGAGGGTCTGTTTTCCTAAGACGCAAAATGGCAGCCGAAGGTTTCGCCGGTGGTGGCAGCAGATCGTCTTGGAGGTGGCCGTCCATGCCTGCTCACAAGGCTTCAGAAACACACTTGTCGTCAGTATTGTCGCGTTCGGAATGAGCAGATGAGCTTGTACTTGCCACCATCGCGGATGAGATGGAGCGCCCGTGGCGCGTCACTCCATGGGCTTCAGTGCGAGCGCGCTCTAATGATGCGAGCGTATTGATGTGGGTTAGAGGCAGTGCGAATGTCATCCGCGGCGCGCCATGCTGATAGGTGGTGAAGGGCGCGAGAGAAATGTGGCTGGTCGCTGGTCGGTGGTCCTTTGACCGGCTGCGTCAGGTAAAAAATGACTGGCAAGGGTTGCGTAACTGTAGCGTTGAGGTATTGATATCATGTCTGTTGGTGATGTGGTTCCGAACATGTTGGTGCGATGGCAGCAACGTGAATGTTCGCATTCGGTCAGGCTCCCAGAATAGGCAGTCGCGTTTCGCGGGGACGCGCGACCTCACTGGACCCTTTGCATCATTACTTTCATGTGCTCTTGTTGCGGAGAAGACCGCCGTCAGTTTCCTCGACTATTGTTTTGCGAATTGGAAATATCGGACAACCATCAGATTCATTGCTATAGTTGTCTGAATCTCGTGGCATCGCTACAGCTATGGGAGCCTCATGGTCTATCATTCTTGCCTACCTCGTTCGTGCAATCATGTCTTCTTCCAGACGCCCGGTTCTGCATGGCGTATCGTCTCTTGTGGTCACAAGTCCCACACTTCATCGATGAACTCACGTAGCAATGTCGCGACCTTCCCGTCATCATCCTCGAGCATTTCATCTTCGCCATCGGCAAACATCTCCATGATACTGTTTACCTCATCCTAGATCACTCGTTGTGGCAGTCTTCGGGATCCTGCATGATCAGAGTACTTTTTGGGGCCCCGACCATCTCTAACCTTGGCTTTCTTTCGATAGAAAGCTTTGCCGAGAGCGAATACGCGGTTCGCAATTTTGACGATGGCGTTGCTCGTCGATGCGTCACGGAATATACCAGCTTCCTTCTTTCTCGTTGCGAAGATCAGTGTGACGTCTCTGCTAGCGCATAAATGGAGTCGTGCTCCCATTTCGAAAATCAGCATGAAGTCCCAGAAAGTGGGTGGGCGATTTTTGAAGGACAACCCGATGCGGATCCGAATGCCCGGAGCAAGGAAATCGTCCTCAGATGCGCGGCCCAACCACTTGCAGTGTGGGTCGGGATTGTTCGTGTTCGAGGCTGGAAAATGCGTGTGAGCCAATGCCCACTCCAGATCCGTGCGATGGCCTTTGCGGTTGCCGAGCGCGAAGTGGCAGAAGAAATGGTCCTTCCCATCCATCTCGCAATTGGCGACGTGTGCGGTCAAGAGATCGTTGTATATGACCCTCATAACCGTATCATATGAGCGGCCACATTGGACTTGTGTGATGCGGCGCGGAAGACGGTTTCCGTCCTCATCTCTTGGGTATTCCAACACTGCTCTCTTGACGATCGAATCGGTGCGGTTAATATGATCAACGACAAGATTGCTCAGCACCTAGCGCGGAGTCGGATCCATATCACTTGGCTCCCACACAAGGATCACCTTGAGCTTTCATTGACCTGAAGGGACGAGTGTCGTCGGCAGTGTAACGAGCCTCTCTTCCGCCTCGGTAGGTCGATCTTGCTCTTCCTCCTGTGGAGCGGTCTCGGACGCGTCACAATCCTTCCGCTATTCCTTCTGGGGTAGTTGGGATGGCTGTGATGGCATGGCATGTGCCTCTCCCGGGCCGCGTCTGTTGAAGAGCATATGGTAATTGTTTTTGGATGGACTGTGGCAGCGCCAGACTTTGCTGGCTTTGGTGTGGTGATCGGTGAGTCGCTGAGCATCACACCTGTGCCTGGGGCCGGCACAGCCAATCTTGCGGTCTTTGGCAGAGAGGCTTCGTCGTCTAGTTCGGGGTTTGGATCCGAGCGCTTTCGGGTATGCGCGAGAGATGCTTTGGATGGAGTGCTTGGAGGTGGCACCATGCTTTCCGTTGCGTCTCGATTGACAGATGGACGCTGTGCGCTATCGTATAGCTCCCAGATGTGGCCATGTGGCCTTGCGTGAACAGGTTCTATAAATTCGCATGTCGTGTAGTGCTGCTCGCGCTGAGAGAGATCTCCAAGCTCGCTTTTATTGTCGGGATTTCTCGTTCCCGTCATCAGAACTTTCGTCGAAGTCAACGACGACTGTTCTCGAGGCGTGTTCTAGGTGTTCGAACAGGAGCGCTGCGGGACCGGATGAGGGTATCGCGCGTTCCGCTTGAGTGCCCATATCGTCTACATCGTCTATGACAACGATGGTCGATGCATTTGAGTCGGCAGCCGAAGTTCCACGAACAGTTGTTCGAGGCTGCGTTGGAGCTGAAGGGAAGAGGTGCTTGAAGCCAGAGCGCGAGTCCTCCACGACCCATTTGTCGCCGCACAAATCTTTCAGACTCAACGTGATCTGTCATGGTAATTATAGGCGAAGGAAGCGACTACGGGCTCACCGATGAGGACGGTAAGAGTCGGCAGGATGAGCGCCATTCGCGCCAAGGTACTGTATGCGGCAGGTGAAATTCCGTGGCTTCCATCTCGCAGAGATCGGTGAAAGGAAGCAACGATGGAGACGTGTGCTGGAGGTGCAGATCTCCATCATCTGGAGCAATGGACATTCGCAAGTTCAAGTTGGGAGATGATGAAAGGCATGCTGTGCTGTTGACGCGTTCGGCGACGCGTCGACGCGTCAAGTTGGGAAAGAAGACGACGTGTGCTCGGCTCCGATTCGGAGCCGAGTGCAGTAGCCACACATTGGGTCCGATGAATGCAGAACACGAGGACGATGTTGACCATTAGGGTCTGTGGCATGCGCGAATATCTGCGCTGGCATCAGGGAGCGACCTGGAGACAAGACAGCTGACGAAGTGTCACGAAGAGTGCGCAAACGAACCAACACGAGATGCATGTTGTCCAATTTCATTTGCCTCTTGCAAGGCCCAAGGGTGCGCATGGGGAGCAGCCAGGCCAAGAGAAACAGAGGGAGTCCAGAGCGATCACTCGCTTCCGCACACCGTCCGCACATTCGAGCCACGCAGCTTGAGAAAGCAAATGCAAAGCATTCGGAAGTGGCAAGCAGAGAAACGAAATGCAATCTCATCCTTCATCAACGCGATTACATTAATCACCCTAAATACAACAATGTAAATTGTCGCTTTGCTTTGTGTGTTGTGTACGAAATGAAAAACAGAGATGAACGAGCCCGAAAGCCTCGAACTATCCCAGCATAGCAGCGCGAGATACAGCAGAGCAACCAGAGCGAAGTCTCTTCGTGACCTTGTCTTGTCAGCTGTCGACGAGGATCCAATTATTAGGTCCGCTGCGAAACAGTGTCAGTTCTTGCTCCTCTTGATTTCGGGCTTGAAGGATTCGCAGAACATAGAACTTACGTGCTACTGTGTCTCTGAAGCTGCTGCTGGGTAGGCTCGGTGTCTCTGAGTGGTCTAGATACGAAGGACTCCCAGGAGACCAGCGCCACCGGCGCCAGGAGCGGGGGCCTGGTTGTTGAACGGGAAACCAGGTGCTGCAAACGAGGTCAGCTTCCATAAATCGTCATCATGAAAATAGTCGAGACTCACCGGTGATCGAGTTCGTGTCGAGAGGCTTGTTGAATGGGAAACCTGCTCCGAGGGGGACCGCTGTTTCATTGATATTAGTAAAATGTGCGAGAGCGATAAGCAGATTTGATTCTTCCAAGTGAAAGCTGTGTTCAAAGTCGGAGTGCTCGATAATGACTTACGAGGAAGGCCGTATGCAGGTGGTGGCGGATACGCAACGGGAGGAGGAGGAGGAGGGTACGCAGCTGGTGGAGGAGCGTAGGAAGCCGGTCGTGGCGCTGGCGGTGGATAGCTCGGCGGTGGAGGCTGAGGATAGCTTGGTTGACCGTAGCTCGGAGGTGGCCTTTGAGCGGGAGGCGGAGGGTAAGCTGCGGGAGCGTTGTTTGGCAGTCCGCCTGCAATTTATATTAGTACTGTGTGACTTCGGCTCTCACGTCAATCGACGTACCGTAACTCTGTGGAGGCACTGGTGATGGTGGGAAGCCGCCCTGCTGAGGTGGGAAGCCCTGACCAGCACCCTGTTGAGGTGGGAAGTTTGGCATACCACCGCCTGGCTGTTGCTGTCCGGGGAAGTTTGGAGCACCTCCCGGCTGTTGTCCTGGGAAGCCTTGGCCAGCGCCCTG